CCACCCACCCCCTTCCTGGCACGCGATGGCAAAAAGGTTAGCCATCACTGGTATAGGGCTCCAGCTTGAACAGGGGATTGGACTAGAAAACCTCCAAGGTCCCTTCCAAATCTGTGATTCTGTTATTATTCTGTTATTAGCATAACATCCAGGTAAAAGGTAACTGAACTGTCCAAAATCAAAGGCAATTCAAACCATTTCAGCCAGCTGATCCGACTTCTTACCATTTCAGATCTCATTTTTATTTCGTTAAATTTAACAGACGGCGGGAGCTCTTCCACTTTAGTTGCAAGGTTTTGCAAAGGTTTAGACAATACATTTCTCTAAATACGCCGGATACGTGCTTGTCTCCGCACCATGAAGCGGCTTATGGGAAACCCAAGCATTACATCAAATCGTGATTGGCTTCATTCAAAGCGCTTTTAATGGGAAAGCGCTAGAAATTAATTGGAAAGTAGAGTTAATGCTGTGCTAAAAGCCCATTCAAGATTATTCACTAGTTAGTTGAGAAAGCACGAATGAAAACATCATCAGTAAGTTTTGGCATCAGTTTAAAAGATTAACAGAGGTGGAAGGGACCTTGGAGGTCATCTAGTCCAACCCCCCGCCCAAGCAGGAGACCCTACACCATTTTGGACAGATGGCAGTCCAATCTCTTCTTGAAAGCCTCCAGCGATGAAGTTCCCACAACTTCTGAAGGCAACTTCTGTTCCATGGGTTGATTGTTCTCACCGTCAGAAAATTTCTCCTTATTTTCAGGTTGAATCTCTCCTTGATCAGTTTCCATCCATAGTTCCTTGTCTGGCCTTCAGATGCTTTGGAGAATAGCTTGACCACCTCTTCTTTGTGGCAACCCCTGAGATACTGGGACACTGCTATCATTTCACCCCTAGTCCTTCTTTTCATTAAAGTAGAAATACCCAATTCCAGCAACTGTTCTTTATATATGTTTTAGACTCCAGTCCCCTAATCCTCCTGGTTGCTCTTCTCTGCACTCTTTCTAGAGTCTCAACATCATTTTTATAGTGTGGTGACCAAAACTGGATGCAGGATTCTAGGTGTGGCCTTACTAAGGCTTTTATAGAGTGGTGTTAGTACCTCACTTGATCTTGAATTGTATCCCTCTGTTAATGCAATTTAACAGATTGCATTGGCCTTTTTTTGGCTGCCGCCACACATAATTGTCGACTCTTTCAATTATGGTTTGAGGGAGTCTTTGTGAAAAAGAGAACAAATTATGCTAGAAAGCACAGTATGTGATCACAGCCATTGGCAAGAGAACGAAGGATATCAATTGCCAGTGATTTTTAACTCTTGCTTGCCAGTTATGAAACAGGCCGGTGAAAAATTAGCCATCTAGAACAGGGGTCAGCAACTTATGGCTCCGGAGCCACATATGTGTTCTGTCCCCATCCCACACGCACACACACCAACAGACGTTCAAGAGTTAAAGACCAAACCAGCCGGCAAAATCCTTTTCCTTATGATAACGGAACTTGGCAACAACCTAGTGGCTGCCTGCCAAGAGTTTATTATTTACAAAGAGGAGAGATAACTTCTCCCCACTCCTGGTACATCAAAAGAAACAGCTCAATAATTACGGAGTCAATCAAGTCCAGCAAAGTCTATAGCCAAAAGTCCGGCAATGCAGAATGGCGTGGAAGCTTTCAGCTTTGTTCGTCACAAGGTTTGATTGGCCACCACACTCCCTTTTATATCCTGTGGGGTGTGGTCCAGTGACTCAGCCTAATCTCAGGCACACCTTTTCTTCTGTTGCGCGCGCTTATCTCTGCGACGCTGGCGTGGATCCAGCCAAGACTCATTACCCTCATCACTGTCCATCTGTGGCTGCGTGGACATGCTTGGCCCCAGCCCTATCTCTTGCCCTTCGGTGGACACCGAAGGCATTGCCAGAGAGGAGGGTCCTGGAGAGGGAGGCCTTGCCAACTCCTCTCCTTCACTCTCGGAGTCCTCTCCTGCCGATGACACAGGCTCAGATAACAGAGCCACAACAATATGGCTCTTTGGGCCCTCTGCTGTAGATCCCTGTCAGGTGACCCCAACACTGGCTGCCCCACCCCTCGCCCTCCCAGTCACTCCTCGCCTGGCCTGAGAAGTTAAGGGCAATGGGGAGGATGGATGGCCAGGGCAGAGACAGGGAGATATAGAGAGAGGGGGAGAGAGAGAGACATAGAGAGATACAGAGAGAGAGGGAGGGAGGAGAGTGAGAGAGATGTCAAAAGGATTTTGTGGTTCCCGGTATTTTTTAACCACTGGTTCTCTGCCCTAATGACCGGCTGGGTAGGTGTGGCTGGGGGGGTCCATGTGACCAGTGGAAATGATTGACATTGAGTTGGCCACGCCCACTCAAGTTTTGTGGCTCCCGGTGTTTTGTTTTCTGTGGGAAATGAGTCCAAATGGCTCTTTGAATATATAAGGTTGCAGACCTCCAGAAAGACGCTGCTAAAATCATCTCATGGAAAGTTGGGTCACCCTAATTGTATTTTTAACAGAGCCCGATGATCCACTCTTGATGGAAGAAGTCAGAAAGACCAATGCTAGGTGGCTACAAGCAGCGCTGGGTTTCTCATTATGTTACTACCGGTTCGTCCCGCGTGCGCACACTTGCTCGTTTTGGGGGCATGCGCACCCGGTTTGCGCATGCACCTGCCTTCCACACATGCACCTGGGCTCAAAAACATGCCTAAATAGGATGGTATAGAGCTGGGGCAGGTGGGCGGGCCCATCCACGATTTCCACTACTGGTTCGGGCGAACCGTTCCAAACCGGCTGAATACCACCTCTGGCTACAAGGAATTGACATGTTCTGAATTTCTTTGTAGCCATCATCCAGATGTTTAAAGTTTAGTTATGACAACGTGGGATTAAGCAAAAAAAAAAAAAGAACAGAAGACACAACCTTTTGTAGATTTATTTAACTGAAATTTCTTATGTACCCTGAGTAGATTCTGGAAATTAGTGGATTGGTGACATGGGAGACTCGACTCCGTTTTTGGACCCTTAGGGATCTTACTGCCTTTACCCACTAGATTTCTATACCGCTTCATAGTGCTTTACAAACCCTCTTTAAGCGGTTTACAGAGTCAGCCTCTTGCCCTCAACAATACGGCTCCTCATTTTACTCACTTCTGAAGGATGGAAGACTGAGTCAACCTTGAGCGGGTCAGGATCGAACTCCTGGCAGTCGGCAGAGTTAACCTGCAATAATGCATTCTAATCACTGAGCCACGAGGAAGGAGAAGAAGAATGGGAAGGAGGGAGGAAGGAAGGAAGGAGGGAGGGAGGGAGGGAGGGAGGGAAGGAAGGAAGGAAGGAAGGAAGGAAGGAAGGAAGGAAGGAAGGACACCACCACAGCTCTAGTTGTAGAAATGATCCAGTTGTTCTTATTGCTTTTTTTTGTCCCAGGACAAATATATCTTTCGGGATTCTTCTGTGTATTCAATCGTGTTACAGCGTCCAGAGAAGCAATCATTACACCAACTGTTTTTAAACAGAGGAGCTTTCTGAGGGAGCTGTTACGTCTTTTTTGTAGGGTTGTCCTGCCATGAGTAGTTGTTAGAATTGTTGAATTGTTTTCTGTCTAACTCGTTGCCAGGGGACAGCCTGCTGAAAGCGCCATAACTTTTCTATCTTTGATTGGATAATCTCTTCTGTTTCCTCACCCACCTTGAGAGAACTTGCAAACGGGGCCACCATGTCGCTGTAGACTTCACAACATAGACATTAAAAGACAACTAGTCTTTGCCATTCTCACCTTTAGCAAAAAAAACAGGGCTATGAGTAGGTATTTTCCTCAGATGAATCTTCAAGAGAAGATGCGTTTCTAATTTTTTAAAAAAGCAGGGATTTTGGAGATGCTGTTCTTTGCTTCCTTATTTTTGGCATTCCTCCCAATAACAGAGATTTAGTGTCAGGGTAATGATGATTTAAAGCTGACCAGCCAATGTAAGGCTAATGCAACTGTAAAGCTGGTGAAATGTAAGGCTGATGCAATGAGAATGAATCAGCATTGGTATATCCAGTTTAAGACTCTGAAGGGGGTCCACCCAAGTCTTTTACCCCTTTAAGAGGTGTTCATAAATTTCAGCCAGGAGAGGGCGTATTCTCTCTCCTTGTTCGTTGCTGAGTTCTCCGTGTAGAGTTAAGAAGAAGATTGATTGCTCGTCAGGTATTTGCATACCACGTATATTTCTGTATATATCTTGTATATAAACCACTGTTAAATGTCTAAGTCTCTGTGTGCTGTGTTTTGCTCCTGGATTGTCTCCTAATAGTAGTCACACTGCAAACGCTCTGACATTTAGCAGTAGCATTTAGACTTATATACCGCTTTACAATGCTTTACAGCCCTCTCTAATTAGTTTACAGCAGGGGTGTCAAACTCAAGGCCCACGGGCCAGATTCGGCCTGCAGGGTACTTATAGCTGGCCCACAGGGCCTCCATTGAAACAGTGAAGGACTGACCTGTGTTGTCTCTGTCAATGAAAACAGCAGCCCTCTTGAGCTCTGTTTTCACTAGCAGAGAGTTGCAGGAGGCCGTCGCAGCCGAAAACAAAGTTCGGGAGCCCATTTTCATTGGCAGAGCCTGTGGGCCATACAGGTGCCCCCAACACGGGTGACGTTGAACTGGCCATGCCCACTCTGGCCCCCCGAGGTCAAACACAACCCTGATGCGACCCTCAATGAAATCGAGTTTGACACCCCTGGTTTACAGTGTCAGCCTCTTGCCCCCAACAATCTGGGTCCTCATATTACCGACTTCAGAAGGATGGAAGGCAGAGTCAACCACGCAGCTGAAGTTTTGAAAGAAAACACAACCGAGATAATAGTGGACGCTCAGGCAGGACAAAGAGAAAAGTGAGGCACGGAATAACTAAGAAAACTCGGTCTAGACGATTTCCAGGGGGAGCCATTTTGTCCGCCCATAAACACTTATTTGCTTGCTTGCTCCTATCTCCTCTTCCTTTTTTGTCTTCTAGCCGTACCCCATAAAATAGGGAGGATAATTGAAGGGAGCCCTGCCGATCGCTGTGCGAAATTAAAAGTCGGAGACCGGATCTTAGCTGTGAATGGCCAATCCATTATTAACATGCCTCACGCTGATATTGTGAAGCTCATTAAAGATGCTGGCCTTAGTGTAACTCTTCGCATCATTCCTCAGGAGGGTAAGTCCTTGACCCTTAAAATCCAGGAGGGGAACTGGATGGAGGAACCAATTAATTCAAACGGGTCTCTTGGGGAAAGGGGAGCGATTTTTGTTGCGGGGAGGAAACAGGGCCCAACATCGTATCAAGGGTATTGCCGGTTCCCCTCCTCCTCCTCCTCCTCCTCCTCCTCCTCCTCCTCCTCCTCCTCCTCCTTTTTTTTTTACAGAATGGAGAATGAAGAAATAGACAGCAAGACTAAGTGGAGATTCTGTACTGATGAAAGAATCAATAAAAGTGAATATTTGTAGCTCAGGGTTGAAATGAGGGGTCCTTGGTGCTCTCTGAGCTTGGTTGGTTTCTTGTGGACATTTCATTACCCAATTAGGTACCATCATCAGTGTTCCAAAGTAGGGAGGTTTGGGAGAAGGAGGGGGAGGAATAGTTGCAGTTTCATTCCATTTTACATAGTGTCCTTTCCACTGATGTCAGTTAACTTGCTTGAGGGCTCTTTCAGGGTCGGTGACCGAAAACAGAACTCAAACAATCAGCAGTCCTAACAGATCAGTCTGAACTTTAGATATTTTTAGTGTAGTTTCTACCCTTATATCTCCACCCAGCAGGGATGTCCACAGATTGTGGTCAAAAACAAAAAAAAATCAACATGGTAGCAGCGAGATTGAAACTCAAGGTGGGGTTTTTTTAGAAAATAAGTGGCTTGACCTTGTTCCCTTTCCTTGTTCTTCTCCCACAAAAATTTGGATGGATAGATGAATTAGATAGATGAGAGGAGAGAGAGAGAGGAGAGAGGAGAGAGAGGGGAAACAGATGAGAAGAGATGAGGGGGAGAGAGAGATGAGAGAGGGAGATGAGAAGGAGAGAGGGAGACAAGAGGGAGAGAGAGAGGAGAGAGGAGAGAGATGAGAGAGAGAGAGAGATGAACGAGATGAGAGAGATGGATGAGAGAGAGAGATGAGAGAGGGAGATGAGAAGGAGAGAGGGAGACGAGAGGGAGAGAGAGAGGAGAGAGGAGAGAGATGAGAGAGAGAGATGAAAGAGATGAGAGAGATGGATGAGAGAGAGAGAATGAGAGAGAGGGAGATGAGAAGGAGAGAGGGAGAGAGAGAGGAGAGAGAGGAAGAGAGAGAGAGAGATGAAAGAGATGAGAGAGATGGTGAGAGAGAGAGATGAGAGAGAGGGAGATGAGAAGGAGAGAGGGAGACGAGAGGAGAGAGAGGAGAGAGGAGAGAGAGGAGAGACAGATGAGAAGAGATGAAGGGGAGAGAGAGATGAGAGAGAGAGATGAGAGAGAGAGGGAGATGAGAAGGAGAGAGGGAGAGAGAGAGAGGAGAGAGGAGAGAGAGAGAGAGTGATGAAAGAGATGAGAGAGATGGATGAAAGAGAGAGATGAGAGAAAGGGGGTATATGATAGATGATTGAAAGAAGAAAGAAAGAGAGAGAAAGAGAGAGAATAGATAGTTGGATTGGATTGGATTGGATTGGATTGGATTGGATTGGATTGGATTGGATTGGATTGGATTGGATTGGATTGGATTGGATGCCTTCCTTTTTTTTTCTTATTTATTTATTTATTAGCCACATTTTTATGCCACCCAACTCCCGAGGGATTCTGGGCGGCTAACAACAAAGAATAAAACAATGCGAACAATATCCCATACAAAAGTTTTTAAAAAACCATTAAAACCTATACACTCCAATTCGTGGCCTGATCGTGCAAGATCACCGTAGCCTTCACCGTACTCTTCACTGAATGCCATCTGGGTTGACCACTCTCTAATGTCTCTTGTTCCACCGTGCAGAGGTGAACAGCCCAGCTTCCGCACCCAGCTCCGAAAAACAGAGTCCCATGGCCCAGCAACACAGCCCTGGGACTCAGCAGAGCCCTGTAGCACAACCAGCTCCTCCGCAACCTCTACAGACTCAAGGACATGAAAACAGGTAAGGCAGGAATCTTTGGCTCTTGGTTCCATGGGGAAGGTGGGAAGAGCTTATTGGGCTTAAAGCCAAACAGCTCAGCTTCACTTAACCCTTTTGTTAGTGTGAAGAAAGATTTCAATTAGTAGAATAGGAGAAGAGCGGGTGGACATAAATGACTCATCAGTTCAGAATCGTTTCGTTCCCACAACCGTCTAAAACCAGCTCCTTCTTGAACTCCATTGACCCTTATCTGGTGCCAAGTTAGTGTATTGAACTTTAGCTGACTAAATTTTTGCAGGCTTGAATAAATCTTCTGTGAGATAGTCCTGATTCTTTGTACTTGACATTAATCTAGTCAACTAATTTATGGCTCAGCCTATGCACAAGAATTTGGAAATCTTCTGAACTCACACTTGGCCTACCTCCTAGTTTTATTTTCTCTGCCTCTTAAATCGCCCACTGTTCTAAGTATTGTAGTGCCTCTCCATTTCTGTTCTTGCAGCACCAGGGGTGAAATGCTCCCGGTTTGGACCAGATCGCCTGATCTAGTAGCGATGGAGGCGGGTGGTTCGGAGAACCGGTAACAAAAATCCCTGCCCCTCCCCATCCATGCCCAGCTGAGCCACAGGATCATCAGAGGTCTTTTTTTTTTTTTTTTACTTTTAACAGTATTTTTTCTACAACCTCTTCCGACGAAAAAATGCTTTTAAAAGTAAAAAAAAAAAAAGCCTCTGATGATCGCACGGCTCAGCTGGGATAGTCAGAGGCTTTTCAAAGCATTTTTTTTCTGCAACCTCTTGGCCGAAGAGGTAGTAAAAAAAAATGCTTTGAAAAGTCTCTGACGATCCCAGCTGAGTTTTTTGATCGGCAGAGAGGTATTTTTAAAAAAGCCTCTCTGACGATCCCAGCTGAGTTGCCTGATCGGCAGAGAGGTATTTTTTAAAAAGCCTCTCTGACGATCCCAGCTGAGTTGCCTGATCGGCAGAGGCTTTTCAAAGCATTAGAAAAAATGCTTTGAAAAGTTTTTTTTTAAAAAAAAGTTGGCCACGCCCACCCAGTTACATTACCCCCACACACACCAAGCCACGCCCACAAAACCGGTAGTAACAAATTTTACATTTCACCCCTGTGCAGCACCCATGTTGTGGTGCACACTAGAACCCTCCCTGGTCATTCTACGGACATCTCAAACACCACTGCCTTAAGAAGAGTCTTCTCATTTTCAACCGAGGCCCTCCAAATTAAAAATGAGATGCTACCTCATTATACTACCTGAGACTTCTCAGGAAACAACAACTGAATGAAACACTGCAGGTGACCTTCTACCGCTGCACCATAGAGAGTATTTTAACTTACTGCACCTGTGTATGATTTGCCAACTGCACCGTGGCAGATAGGACAGCGTTCCAGAGGGTTAATGTCATTGCTCAGGGGATCATTGATTGCCCTCTACCCTCCTTGGAAGAGCTTTATAGCTCCCGCTGCCTTAAGAAAGTTCAAAACATTCTTAAAGATCCATATCATCCTGGGCACCCTTTTTTTTTTTTTTAACTATTACCATTTGGCAGACGGTACAGGATAATAAAAACAAGGACAGATAGGCTGAAAAACAACTTCTATCCCAGGGCAGTAACTACCATATTTTTTGGAGTATAAGACGCACCTTTTTCCCCCCCTAAAAGAGGCTGAAAATTTGGGTGCATCTTATACTCCGAATGTAGCTTTTTCGAAGCTTTTTTTCAGCCCTAATGAGGCGCTAACGAGGCGCTAGCAAGTGAAGCGATCTCCATGCTTTGCTCCAATTCTCAGCTGTTTTTTAGAAGCTTTTTCTCAGCCCTAACTAGGCGCTAGCTGAGTGAAGCGATCTCCCCCGGTATTTTGCCCGCTTTTCTCATTGCTGCTTCCTCTCAGCTGTGCCTTAGAAGCTATTTTTTATCCCCAAGCAGGGGATAAAAAACCAGCAAACTAATGTGCTGAAGCTGACCAGACTAAGGACGCTAGCCAGATGAATCCCTGAAAGGCAGATTTTTTTCCCCCTATTTTCCTCCCCAAAAACTAAGCTGCGTCTTATACTCCAGTGCGTTTTATACTTCGAAAAATAAGGTATATTGAATTCTAATGCATAGTGCAATATTAATGCAGTATCAGGGATTTTCAATTCAATTGTATAGAATGTGAAGGATGGATGTTTTTGTTTTATTTTTATAGTTTTCTTATGTATGATGTACACTGAAGATGGCATTTAATTTCGTAGTACGAGATGCAATGAAAATAAAGTAAACTACGAAACTACATGCTTTGATTACTTGGCCAAGAATATGGGACTCGGTTTTACAATCCAGCAATCTACTGGATTTCGTTTCTGTTTATTTTTTACAGGTTCGTCCTTCCGCCAACAACAGAACATTCAATTCTAATGAATGTTGTTGTTGTTGTTATTCTTGTTTAGTTACAGGTCGGAAGTCAAAGCAAGGCAGGATGTCAAACCCGACATTCGACAACCTCCGTTTACAGATTATCGGCAGCCTCCGTTAGATTACCGGCATCCTCCTGTATTAGATTACCAGCAATCCCCCCCTTTGGATTACCGGCAGCCGCCTTTGATAGATTACCGGCAACATTCTCCTGACACCAGGCAGTTCCCCTTATCGGATTACAGGCCACCTCAGGTATTCCCCGTCGTCGGTGTGCGCCATTTTATATTGCTTTTTCCGTCCTGCGCCCCAATAGTTTCAGACGTTTCTGTTGCCTAAAATTAATTAAATAACTGATACATAAAGGACTTTATGGATTAAGCCAGTGATGGTGAACCTTTTCGGCACCGAGTGCCCAAATCGGAACATGTGTATGCACAGGCGCATGCAGGCACCGGAGCGCCGGAAACCCGAAGGCCAGTGTTGTGACCCAGGCTCATGTAATTAATATTAAATGCAAAACAGTTCCAAAAACAAGCAGATTTTATTAAAACAACTGAGAATTAACTCATTCTCAATTTATTCCAAATTAAATGAAAGCAAAGTCCTCAAAACACCATTGTTTAGTTTATCTCTGACCTTGGGATAATTAGGCAAACTGCCAAAGGCTTTTCTTGGTAAAAGTTCAGGAACAGAAGACACTGACAAGAAAGAAATACATCCAAACACAAAGTAAATCTCTCAACGGTTGTTTTCCGGCAAAGAGGCCAAGAGCCGTTGCTGGTCTTTTAAGCCTTATGGGAGGGGCCAATCATCTCTTGGCCTTACTCCCGAGTCGACCTCTCTGCTTTAGCTGCTCCTGCCTTCTGGCAGCTCTTCTCATACGTGCGGTAGGAACAGGCTCCTCCTGTTCCTCTGCCTCTCTACTGTCAGCCTCTGGAGGCTCCGAAGTCCGCACATCACTCCCCGATGGCCCTGGCCCCATCTCTGCCTCTGGCGCAGAGCCCTCATCTGGGCCTTCCCCAGCCTCCAGGACCGGCCCGTGTTCTTCCTCAGCCTCATCACTGTCTGACTCCACTGCCAGCTCCGCAGGCTGCTGGCACACCACAACAGCCAGCATACACACCAGCCACCTGGTCTATGGGTTTCCGGTGCGTGCATGTGTGCCAGCCAACTGGTCTTCGTGCGTATCAGAGCACCGGAAACCCAAAGTACCAGGTGGCCAGTGAGCAGCTGGTCTTCAGGTTTCCAGCACTCTGGCATGTGCAAAAACCAGCTGGCCAGCATGCATGTGTGTGTCGGAAACCCGAAGAGCAGCTGGAGATGGCTCGCATGCCATAGGTTTGCCATGACGGGATTAAGCCAACTGACCATCTCGAATATGAAAAACGGATCCAAAACAAATGCAAATAAAATGCAAAAGAAACATGAATGTGTTCATAATAAACTGTCACTCCTGTGGTTAACTCCGGTCTGAACTCTAGATATTCCATCTCCTCTTCGTAATGGCCTTTGAAATAAAGAAGAGGGCTGGTTTGCTAGTGAAAGGCAGGTTTCTCTGGGTGGCCCAATATTTATTTATTTATTCAGTTTTTTATAAATAAGGGAGCAAGTAAGCATCCCTTTCTACGTTGTATGGTTCGTAGTCAATGAGAATGTGTCCAGTGTCTTCCAAGGGTTGAGAACCTAAACTCTGTATGTGTGTGTGTTTCCTGTGCCTGACATTAACAAATGATGATAGATAGATGATAGATAGATAGATAGATAGATAGATAGATAGATAGATAGATAGATAGATAGATAGATAGATAGA